CCATCCCCAACAGGGGAAGAACCAAGGGACCACATTCGTGGATTCAGACAACCTACTCCATAGTCATGTTCTCTCCTTTACAGCATCACCAATCTTTTCCTCCAGTCAGGACCACAGACCAATCCTTCCATGAAGTGCCAGTGCACCATACAACCAGCCCAGGCTTACATCTTCCAAATGAGTAAATAAAATGAAAAAGTCAGTATGTGAATGGAACAAAGTCTGTAAGCTTAAATAATCTAATCTAATTAAATAATGTCAGATATTAGTTATCCAATAGAATAAATTGTATGGAGAAAAGGAATGCCCTATAGATACATCTAAAAACTGAACATTATATTTATGCCTCAGAAAACATTCATACAAAAATACAACATATTTCTTACAAAAATATAAAAAGTAAACAAACAGGAACGCAGCCAACCTATGTGTCTCTAGCAACCTTTTCCAAAAGCTCTTCAGCTTGCATTTTTGAGTGTCAGAAGGAAAAGGCTTGGTCCATATGATTGAAATTACTAGCCAACAGTGTATTTGCCTTCCTGTATTCATGTAAACTTCCCTATTTCTCCAACCACTTAGGCAGCCAGTGACATACAGTGTCCTTTTTCAGCATTTACATTCTATAACAAGAATGTCCCCTGAGGACTGTATGACTACGCTTAAAAAATGTGTTAATCAGACGAATAAGGCTTTTGTACCTGTTGCAGAGAATATATGACAATGTGAGATAAATGCTATGGAAATGGTTGCTGTATACTGAGTGCATTGTATTTAGGAGTATACAGAAACATCACTGAGCTCCTTCGATTACACTGAAACAGTCGTTTCAACAGATTAGTCCGTTCGTTCAGTATAACTCTATGTCTTCCTGCTTATGGTCCTTTTAGGCATATCAACTAGCAGAGCGTAACTGACTTCTTTCTCTTTTAACAATTAACTCTCAGTACAGTCAGCAAACACCCTATGTTCCGGGACACAATGTCCGACTCCCTTTCACTCACATGCTAGAAGAGAGCAGCGAAGCTGAGGAACTACAGAGCAGGAGACCTGGGACACGCAGGAGACCTTTAGAAAGGAGCCTTTAGCTGTATGTCTAGGCACGCAGTCACCCATGAAACACTGCGCGAGCCGAGCCTCAACAGAACATCTGCTCGGATAAAGTGAACACACTCCCATCACCCATGCAGCCTTCCTCTGAGTGACACACAGAGGCAGAAAGGATCTGACCGAATACTGGACACTAGTCAAAATAGAAAATCAAAAAGTTTCACATTCAAGTGTGAAAAGGGCGAACCTAATTTAATCCTGAAACAACTCCGAAGACCAAAATTCTTTCATGCAGCCTGCTTTAGTCTTTTGTCTGTTTTATTCTACTGTGAGTTCTCACACACCACGGCTACATTTGGCAACAGAAGCAATACAAGAATGCTATAGCCAGCCTGTTATTTATTGAGTTTACCTCTGACCTTGCCTAAAAGAAAACTAGGGCTGAGCCTAGTCTTATGTCATCATCCCTTTTACTCATTTTTGCTTAAGTTTATGCCTACGTGTCTATCGGTTCAGTTTATAAACTCTGCCATTTAGATTTCCCCCACAGCTAAGTTTACTGGCTCAAGCTGTAGTGCTTCTTGCAGGCTTGTACACGTGCCAAAGAAAAATTAGTAAGCGTTTCCAAGTCCTAGTTGAGGAGAACTCAACAGCCATGAGCCATGAGTTCTTCTGTTCGTGCTCTTGGCCAGTAAATAACAACACTTTAAGAAAGCCAGAAAGTCAATGAGGGAACCACATGAAGTGAAACACAAGGTATTTCTTTTGTATTTTCATTCGTATTTTCCCTGAAATACCTGATGAGCCTTTGACACCGCACGAGTGAAGTCCACAGTAACTGAATACCTGTGCAGGATCCCAGATTGGGCTCTTGTTATAAAAAGTTAGCATTCAATGTTTTCATAGGAAACTGAAATACAACCAGAAGTTAGTTAATGCATTTTGTTAATGATTTCACAACTTTCAAGCTGTCATTCATTCTGACATGTAAGTAAAACATAAATTCTACCTTTCGTTATCTTCAACGTAACTCGACATTAAGTCCCATAGCAAAAATGGAGCTATGTGAGCATCGCAACAGGGAACATGAAACAGAACTTACTTTATTCAATGTGAAGACAAAAATGTACAATATCCATCCGTACAGGAATACTCAATACCAGTATTTACAAATAAAGATTGCTTCTTTTATTTTAAGGAAACAGATAACTCTCATGAAGATTTTCAATTATTCTACTGTAAGTAATATCACGGTCTTTGCACTCTCTCTCACAAGAGCGGTATCATTATAATTCATATGTACATGGGGGAAAAAGAATGTGCTTTTCTTAAAAAAAACACCACACCCAGATTTAAAGTGGGAAAATATTAGCATTTTGAAAGTGACTAATGCACTTTAGAAATGTGCACTTACCAATTCTGCATCCTGCTTATACGCCATGTCGCACTCGCATTGGTAACTAGAAAGGGTTGGCAGACAACGTCCATCTAAACAAAGGCTGGGATGGTGCTTACAGATGCCTACAGTCTGACTGAGTATTGCTAATCAAAAAAATATAGAACATGAGACAAATAGTCACATCTTCAAATAGAAGTAAATATGAAGATTATACTTGGCTTCAGAAAGTATGTTATCAGGTGCATAAATATATCCATCAAAACAAATATTTTTTCCAACCACTATCTGTTGACATGACAGTACACTAACAGAAACAAGTAGCTCTCAGAAACAAAAAACACGAGACAAACACTCTTAATTATGATGTGCTGTTTACGTGTATAGCCTGATGAGATTGTCAGTGGCCTCACAAACAAACCACAATTTGGGTGAAAGTCAAAGCAGTCTGTTCCTATATGTTTACTAATTTCAGTGTACCCGTCTTAACAACAGCCCTTACATTTTATTAACTTTATGGTTCTGATCCTAGAAACGTGCTTACACGTTACAAGCAACGTTACACACATGAGACTTCCCTCTGAATATTATTCATCTCGGGCTCTCAGTCAAGCCAGTGCTCCTGCACAACAGCAAAGCTGTATACGTTTGGAAGAACAAGGAAAGAGAAGAGTTTATTTTAAACCCTGATGGATTTTTGAAAACACTTAGAAATTTGGAGTTTTATTAGCGCTGACCAAGACAGGTCAGCAGGGATAGCACAGGCTCAAGGACTCTGTAACCAAAGGGAGGAAAACAAAAAATCTCTACAGCTGAACTCTTCTTAGAAAAAGAGCTCCTGAACTTCCTAATGTATCAGCTGAGTTCTCTTTGATGTGCTTGACTACACAGGCATTTTTATGTCTTAGGAACACCATATCATTTCCAGACTAAAAACTAAGCAGAAAAAAAGGACAAAACAGAAGGAGCACAAAAAGAGAGAAACCACTCACAGCAATGCAAGTACTTACTTAGCCCCATAATTACTGGGCCATTTCCAGTTGGACTTTGACCACCTGCCCCTAGTCCTGCTCCCTATGTATTGGGTCAACATGACCAAATAAGGAAAGGAACTGATCCACAACGCGGAGGAAGACTACGGCCTTCATCCTCACGACCACCAGAGGGACCAGAGCGACCCCCTAGCAACAGCATGCGCAGCCACAGAAAGAGACCAGGATGTGCTACGTGGAACCGGAACTACTGAACTATAAAAAGGGACTCTGGGGGAGGTGCGGTGCGGACCGTTGGCGGAGCAAGAGACTCCCCGGCCGCCCAGCGCTGTTTTGCCTGCTTCATCGCTTGCTTAAATAAATTCTATTGCTAATAAATTCACACTTGATTAATTAACAATTGGCTCCTCAATTTGGATTCATCACGGGAGGCGAGCATCTATAACAACACGAACTCTCAAAATTGCTTTCCCCTGTTCAACTCCTGTAACAACTAAAATGTTTAAGAAGTTGTAGTAAAAAAAAACCCTAAACAAACCCCAAAATATCCCAAAACACATCCAATAATTCTCTGAGGTGACCAGCACACACGCATTCCGCATTTGGTTTACTGCAGGATCACATATTTGCAGTGACACCAGCCTTGCATCAATCCAGCAGGCAATCTTCAAGTCTGCTCAAGCCAACAGGAAAGAAATACGGATGATACAAAAGATACAAAGCAATGTCAATAGAAACTAAAGACAAATCTATCAATAGCCTACTACCGCAAAACCTGAGACATTTCATGTAACAGCTGCAACATCACTAAATTCATTTAATTAATTCTGCCTTGATGTAGATGTATCTGACTGAAGAAATGCGGTGCAGCCTGCTCTGCTCGGTAGACTGAATGTACAACAGTATTGTTAGTAGTGCCATGTGAAAACTACTCTACATAAATATGTCAGTGTTCATTACATTCTAGTTCCTTCAAGGACACATTCTAGATTTTTATCGTCACACTCCTGAATGCTGACGAGGAGAAAAGCTCAGTGAATTTGGAAAGACATCGGACTATGTACATCCTGATATTTTGGTTAAAAGCAAATATTTATCTTAAACTGTGAAGAATGACATGACTTGTAGTAATACAAGGATTACATTCTTCACTCTTCTACCTAGTAAAGGAGACACGATACTTCCAGAGTATACAAATTACACTCCAATGCTACGAACATCTCAGAGCACAAGAACTTTCAGACACATCTTCATTTCAGGGAAGGACACTCTGTGGCATAAGGGCCTGCCCTGGCAAACTAGGGCATGTGATTTGTGTGCAATTGGTTTGGGGACCTGACTTTAGAAACCAGACTCTAAAACACACCCAAAATCCATAGAAATTTTGATCCTGTTGGAGATGATAGGTTCTCAGTACTCCTGAGGATAGCCACAACATATATTTCAGGTTTGGCACTCCTCAGATGAACCTGGGTAAGAAAAGCTGGCTACTTTCTGCAAAAAATTATCCACGTGAAATCACTTGTAGGTCTTGTGGTGCTACTGACTTACATTATTAATCTGTAATGCCCCAGGAGCTGCTCACCCTGGCCTACAGCATCCCTGAGATCGCCAATGCCATCCTGGGCCTCGACCAGTTCATCATGCATTTACTCTTCTGTAAATTAACATCTGGCCATGAAAAAGGTATTGCTGTCAGAACTCAGCTGAGATACTGTAATATGCTAGTGATGATTGAAAGTACTGCACGCCAGTATAAAAAGAAGTTTCCAGGAAAACAGATTTTCACATCTCTATTCCAAATCAGTATCTTCTTAAATTTGTTGGCACTGATTTAGCAATGAGGAGAAGACAGGGCAGTGGCATCTGGCTTTCTGAAATGGTCATGGGCTTTCTTCCAATTGCAACAAAACAAAAATTTTGAGACTTAAAAAATGAAATCTATTTTTACCATGCAAAAATTAAGTTTAATATAGTTTGAGGAGGCTCTTAGAGCATTTTATATGAAGTTGTTTTGGGGCAAAACACTTAATTATGAACACTCTTTTTGATGTTATCGTCTGAGATGTTGTTCACAATGGAAAGCAGAAATGCTCCCTCTCCCAGAGGAGAGAAAGTAGAGAAAACAGTGTACCTTTTTTGTAATCTCTGCAATGGAGCCTTGGTTACGATGATACCCAGCTCATTTCTAGGGACTGTCCACTGAAGATCCTCAGTGTCAGATAACACTAGAGCTCCTGGAAATGTAAAATGGGCAGCAGTAGCTTATTAGTAAGAGAGGGAATAAACAACTGAATAATCCAGTCATGCTCCTGTGAGCACCTTCTTGCAGCAGACATCCTGAAGCAGAGGTATTAGTTAGCTAATTGTTTTTTTCTTTATTTCTTTGACTGTTACAAGGCTACATATGGTAAGTGGTTCGTGGCCGTGCTGCTTATATCCGTATCTGTTGATAGAACTCGGAAGGAATTATTTCATTTTGGAAACTGATTGAAAATATGGAGAGTAGTGCCCCAGGGCTCCTGGCCATGGTGGCGTTGCAGAAGGGGAGGCTGTAAGGGGTTCCTGTGGGTGTATATAAACTCTTTGGTATAATTCCTCTGGATTCTCTGTGGTGTGCTGTTGGCGTGGGTTACGGATCCGTTGTAACGATGTGACCCCAATATGAGTATGATCATTCAACCTTTATTAGTCAGCAAAACAAGGTTTATATAGCAAAACTATTACAGCATCTGAATGGTTAAACCCCCAATCCATATATAGGCAAAACTACTGCAACTCGTTGTGATTGGTGCAGAGCTGCATCTCGATGTGAAAACAGTACTGTGGCAGGAAACAACGTGGCAGGAAGGAAGTGACAGTGTGGCAGGAAACGGTGACGTTCCCCCTGCTCCAGTGTTCCGAGCTCCTCGCTCTGCCTTCCCAGCAGGGTTCCGTGTCAGCCACTCCCAAGGCTCACTTCTGGATCAGAACCTGGGTTGCTCAACGCACCAGACTATGTCCCCTCTCGTCCAGCCAGGACTCCACAGTGTGCATTTTCCATTCATCTTTAGAAACACTCATGCGTTCACTCCACTTTCAAATTTGGGTTTAACTTAGTTGGTTGATTTGTAGATCTCCTGTTTCTTCTGTGACCTGTGGCTAAAGGTTTCATTGATACCTAGTAAATGAGATTTTTGCAATTGTCTGTCTTGCACCTTTTTTTTGTTGAAAGCCGTTTTTTCCATTCATTCTCGTATCTCCGTCGTGTTCTAGGTATGTATAGAAGTATGCATTCAGGTGCAAATTTACCTTTTGCTTTGCAGAGCTCTGTTTGTTTACAGTGTATGTTCTTGGCCAGCCATTCTTTCATATTTTGAATTTCTGTTGTGTCAGCCAAGCTTTATCAGAGCACAGTGTTATCTCCAGCACCCCTTTGTATCTCAGTTAATTGCTGCATCTGTCAGACACTGTTACATACTTTAAGGCTGGATTCTCTGAATATTGCTTAATGGAAGGGAACTTTTTTTTTCATGGGACTTTTACCGTTGA